TTTGAGTAATTCTAACATCCTAACCATTCTAACACTTCTAAACAGCTCGTTTGAATCACCCAACTTTTCCAGAAACTTTGAACACAAGGTGCTCGAAAAGCGACTTGTACGATTTTCTTGTTACAACTCGAATGTTGAAACGGAGCGGAAGCAGGTACTGGTGTCTACGCCCAGTCCTGTAACGAATCTTCACACACTTCCAATGTGCTGAACAATGTTGGTTTCAAGTTCTCATAGCGCTGGAGCTTCAAATATGTGGGGTGGTGCCAGGGTCAACTGCGCAAAGAACAACGAGGGGGTCGTATTTGGTCGAACGAAAGGGGAGGGGGTCGTATCTAAAGAGAGGGGCTGCAAGACGGCTTGAAAAGTGCAGTGTCCTCCAGTGCACATTCAGATGTCACACAGACAGGAGCTCCATGGGAGCATTGGAGCATTATAAGTCTCACTATCAGCCATTATTATCCTTAATACACGGACGGCGCTTTCGCTCGACAGCATAGATCAAGATTACAATAGCCAAAAACTTTGTTACAGCGTAGTGCAAAAACATGGTCTGTCTTCGATGATCGAACATTCCTGAAATCCCAAGGAGAACAAAGTGTAGAGCAGTTCATGGGGAAGTGAAACAAGAGTACCATATACAGTACATTGCAACTCAGTCAACGACTATATGTAGCTCCTTTCCTTGACGCTGAAGACTGCGTTTTCTGTTAAACAGCAGATTCCTCCCTCTACTGTTTCGAGCGGACCCTTTCATATACTTTTAGTTCTTCCTGAGTCGAATTTTCTTCTTCAGAAGCTGTAGTTGAAGGGTGCGGAAATGAAGAAACCGTAGTCGAAGTATGCGGAGCAGGATCAAGCAAACGGTCGAGGACGCTTGCACGTGTTCAACCCATATCGCCAACTGTTGCGGGAGTTTTGAAACTGAATTTTTTATAGCATAACAAGTAATTATAATTATTTTCAGAACCAACGCTTCTGTTCCGTTCTTTTGGCTATCCTCATGAGCCAGGGGACCTATGATCTCGTTATTTTGGTGGAAATGAAGGCGAGACTTTAACGTGGAAGTTTCTTTCGAATGTATTTGCTTTAGAAAGTCTCTGAAACTCGAAGACATAGAAAGACACCTAACCGACAATAGGATTTTTTGAGTCGCATAATGGAATTGGTGATGTATGACGTCAACTCCCAATAACTATGGGTTTGTGAGTGCTACATTAGCCCCACAGAAACTAGCGGAAAATTTCTCTGCGACTTTGCCCTATCGGTAAGCCTTATAACTAATTCCAGTACTCAATTACAGCCGTGAAAGTAGCGCAATAAAGCAGTCATTACTCATTTCACCAAATCCTCGGCTCGCGTGATTCACTAGCACCCCTCCTCAAAGTATAACACCTACCGGACACAAACCTTAATGAGTGTATAAGGTGGAATGAAATTATTGTGACCGCGAGTGTGTGCGACCAGACACATTTTTTTCCAAATCTCATCAAATTTCTCTTCCTTTGTACGCATAGTACAGGAGGTGGCCAAAAAAGAGACACTTTGCCTATGGCGCACATCATCAAACTTTTCGTCGCACAGGGTGCCGCTGTTGATGAAAGTTTTACGGCAAAATATCCCTTAGATGTCCTCCATAAGCAGAAGCAGGCCCTCTTCCACTGCCTTCACCGTCTCAAAATATGACGTCATCTTTCATCACTGTTGAGCTCAAGAAGTAGTTCTTCAGTTCAGTTCAGCTCTTGAAGTAATCGTTTCAGACTGAAGCTGCTGCGAAATTTCTTTAATCGTTTAGCTGGATGATCGCTTCCTGGAAATATCGCCTCAGAGGTCCATGTCCGCCGAGGACCTGTTGAGCTCCAAGGTTCCCATGTAAAATTCTTGTGAAGTCCTCGGTGCAGAAAGCTATTATAACGTTTGCTTGATAGATGGGATGTGCTCTTTAATATAAGTTGGGAGCAGTCGATTTGATTTAGCAAAGTGTGATTAATGCTGTCTGAAATGTGGAGTGAAGTGTCTCTTTTTTGGCCACCCCTATATGGTAGGAAGCAATGCCCCCTTTTCAAAAATAGCGGAGTAACCACGTCACGATACGGCAATCTTTAGGTGAACCGAGACGGGGCTCTGGTACGCTACATCCCGCGACACTTCAACGTATTAAAGAATCTCTTATGAGTAACGGTTTGAGCGCTTTAATGAGTCAGGCACCACCTCTGATGGAAAAGAAGGCTATTCGAAGGTTACTTATCACAAGGACATATCAAGCGCTGAAACTCGTTCTCCTCCTTGCGACTTTCATACTGCCAAGTTGAAAAAATTGATGTGAAAGGCCACTTGGACACTCTCAAGTTCCAATGTCTGTCATGGATAGTAAGCCTTAGGTAGATCACGTTCAACGCTTCAAGGAGACAAGAGACTTAGTCGTTAAGCATAAATTCTGCGAAGAGGGATTTTTCGAGCTCAGCATTCCAGCAATTGTTATACTCTATTTCAAAAGACCAGAAAAAGGGAAGAGTGCAGACCACACACCATAAGAGACGACGGCCAAGAGAAAAGTGGCTTTTTTTTTGGCCGTCGTCTCTTATGGTGTGTGGTCTGCACTCGATCTTCTTGTCTTCCGAAATAGAGGGTACCAGTGCACGGTAAACCTAATAAAAAGCCAAACCCCAAAAAAGTCTGATTCCTCTAAGAGGGCACAACAAAAAAGCTGGAATCATGCTGACGCCTGCTTGCCACCTTCACGCCTTCCTCTTCATCTGAAGGCCTCCGTGAGTGCAGTAGGCAATTAATTTTCAGGCCAACTCAGCCTTGCTTGGTATTATTATATTAGGTCGTGAAGAAAGTTCTTGCGCTTTTCGGTGTTTCGTTTTTGAACGCTTTATTTTGTTACGAATTCAAGCAAGCTGCCAATGAGCTGTATGTGGTTTTGAAGAGCTTTTCTTGTTCTATCTAACAGCTAGGCTAGCTATGTTCCTTATTATTTAGTTGTCATTTTTTGAAGCCTTGAATACGGCATACTCCAAGAGCAAATTTGCATGATTTCCTTTTTCTAGCTCAAAGCAGGCCAGTATGGAGAGGAAGCAGGTCAAGATATTATAGACGCACTTGGCTGAGATTCGCAATAAATATGGTCTGAAGCAATTGTTCAAAAAGCTTTTGTAAGAATAGCGAGAGCCCTAAAGATTGTGAGGGTGGTGATCGGAGATTGGACAACGCCAACGATTAGTCGAACGTTCTGGTTGAAGCACGTTTGCACAAATCTATTGAGAGGGTTCCTCCTAAACTAATCGCACTTGCATTGTGTTTTCTTGTTGTACGGGAAGAGCTGGAAAGTCCCAAAAATTCAAATAGGGCGTGCCGCGACAGCTCACCATTTTGAAGGGTCGTTCGCCGCGTTCTAGCTTGTTTCATGCCATGAAAACGACCTGACTTTTTGATCATTTGCGACGCACGACAAAGAACGGATTCTTTGCTACAGAATACGAACCTTTGGTGAAGTGATCGACCGCGATCAGGCTCTACAAACTTTGCAAAAGTGAAACTTCACTGAAGGAAGGTTGAGGTGACTTTCATAAGGTCAGCGGCTGGTCTAGCTTTTCGTAACCAGGTGGATCTGTTAATGTGGAAAAAGTACTCCTGATAATGTGTCAAACTACTCCTAGAACTCTGGCACATATGCTCGAAATTCCTCATTATAAAGGAACCGGCTCGTCCCTGACAGGTAGCTCGGACGCACATTCCACAACCAACCCTGCAGAAGTTGACAAGATTGGCTACGAATTAGTCCTGCGAACATCCTACTCGGTAGACCTTTTGCCTATAATTTGTCACTTTCTCGACTACCTGGATAGCTTCTCCAAAGAGTTATGCTTCAAAAACCAACATGATGCGGAAACGACCTCCGCCGGGTTCATCGTCTCTAGAGCTCCAGTATTCTGCACTACCGGGCTGATTCAACGCAGCTATTATTGGCAGAGGTTTGTGGATTCTAACAGTCTTTACTCCAATCAAAAAGGTTTCGAATGAGCCGAGATACAGGCATTTGAAAATCAAGGTCGAAAAGCGCAAGAACTTTCTTCACGACCTAATACTAGTGGTCAACTTTTTCTGTAGCTGGTTGTTTGTTTGATTAGGATAAACCTTTTAATGATTTTTTTGGTTACCATAATTTTGGCTTACCGTGTAGAGTGGATGGGACCCTTGGAAGATGGGCCAATGCTGCTTTACACTTCATCGCTCATGAGCATGAGCGTCTGAATGGATCTAAAATTGAGACTTAGTTTATGATACAAGTAGGAAATCTTTCAAAATGCAAACTGATTTATTGGCCAATGATGAAGCCGATTGCAAGTTTGAGAATATTAAGAAAGGGAGCAAAGCTTCTGTAACCTGATAACACTGATTGTATCAATATATATGTAACATGGCAACGACGAGGAGTGTGACAATTGTGTGTCACTGTGAACAGACGACGACGTCAGACGGACTGCTGGCGTAGGAGAACACATGGAATGTGGACTTCTTTCTACAACAATAGAACACGCCATCCGAAACAGTACAGACACAATTGGCTAGATCAATACATGAAGCATGAGAATGAGACTCAAAAAACAATTACAGCTACCGATTAGATAAATTAGTACCTAGTGCGAAGGTGACGACCGTACATGACAAGGCACGTATTTCAGAGAGGGAGTGGCGAACGACTCAGTGGAATAAGTAGCACAAAAGAGAGGGTGTCTTTATGGCAGTGAGTAATCAAGCGATAATCCAATTAATAGAAAGATATATTTATAAGGAGGTGAAAGAAGAACGAAAGAAAAACGGCATTATAAAAAAACAATTAATCTGAAGAAAGAATGAAAAAAATGAAAGATGAATAATGAGAAAGATGAAAGGAGGAAATCGAATTCCGATTATTTCATCACTTCACAGATAGACTGCATACAATGAGTGCTCTTTGTTAAATTACTATTCTTCTATGATCGCCGGGAACGAAATCACTTCTTCTGGCCTTCTTGTTCCAGTTTAACCTGGTTAAAGCACTTCTTTGGTAACGCGTCGCGAATTTCCTCCAAATTTCGCACCTGTAACAAAAATAGTCATTTCACCTTCAAAGAGCTCCCCGATTTAATTTTTTTGCCCACCCTCCCACTTTATTGGGCAGGCGATCGCCTTTAGTGCTCGTACGACTATGAACGGACGTAGACGGCATGGCGCATCCCAAAGACCAACGTCTAGTGTTCATCCCTCTACCCCAAATCATCAGACAACAGTCGAAACCTCAATTATTCGCATTTCAGTTCCTATCTTGTAATTATAAATTTGCCAAGCAGAACACACTAAAATTAGAGAACGGTGTTCAAGCCCATTTTCTCGACTGCTCCAGAAGCTGCTCACTCACGTTCAGGCTCTACCTTTTCCTGCAGAGGTACAGAGCAAGGCATCCATGGTGACGACGGCAGCTATCGTAGAAATCAGCCCAACGCGCAAATGAATGTTTCAAAAGGGGTCTCGCTTCGCAGGTCCCAAGTCGTTTCCTTTATTTTTACTTCACCGCTGCACCATTACCACTTCAACGTTTATTTCTAATAAGCGATCAATTTACCACGCCATCTGCCTTGCTTTCATCGAGCTGTAGAAACTGTTCGCGAAGTAAGCAAAAAATAAAAGATTTTGTAACCAACCTCCTTTGACAGCAAATCGATTTCGTTCTTTATTTGCGTTATGCGTCTATCTTCTTCTGTCTTGGATACTTTATGCTGAGGGACCTTAACAACGAGAATAAGTGATAAATGGGGATATACAGGAGGAAAGCTTCACCGTACCTGGCTTTCTATATCGGCCTGAGTGAGGAGCTTATCCAAGCTGTCTAATTCAGTTTCCAATTCATCTAATTCGGCATTATTTACTGACTCGAGAGCATCTGGAACAGACGTCTCACAATTCTCGACCAAGGAAATCCGAGTTCCAAAGGCCCAACTAAAACTCACTCAGTCGATCGATGATCTTCTTGATTTGCTCAGCTTCCCCAGCCACGGTCGTGTTGGCATCACGAGCTGCTTTTTCGGCTAACGAGGCCTTTCGGACGGCCTAAAATGAGCTTCATGAATAAAGTGCAAAAGGTTATCCATTGGTTTCGAGAAGATAAGAACTGACCTCGGTCGCCATTTGCTTGTCCGTTTCCGCCTGCGTCTTATAACTGTCCAAGGTAGAGTTCGTTTCCGTCAGCTCCTCCATCAGCTGATCGACGTCGGCATTCAGAGTTTCAGCAGATTTCCGCGTTTGCATTGTCATGTTTTGGAATGCGTTTGCTTTCTAAAAAGGCATGATGTCTGTGAGATGGCACCATGAAAATTAAGGTTGGAAAACTGCCCAGTCAAAAAGAGGCGTTTCGTGTGCAGATGCGAGGAGCATGCCAAAGATGGCCTACGGCCGCTGCCATCTAGCTTAAAGGGCCTAAGAATTTGAAAACTAACCTCATTGACCACTTTTGCATCTTCACCAGCCTGGCGAGCTAAATCCTTGGCTTGGGCGGCATCAACTGCAGCCGATCCGATGGCGTTCTCAGCTTCTGTTGTCACTTGTTCGGCCTTCTTTATGGCATCCTCGATCTCGTTCAGTTTACCGAGCTGCTCTGCAGCCGCCGCCTTGGACTTCTCGACTCGTTCATTGAACTCTGAATATACCAAAGTGATTGGCCGAATTGAGGTCACAAAGCTATTCGTTACCAAAATGCTTACCGTTGAGAGTTTCCAGGGTTCTTTCGGCGTCTTTCAACGTATTTTCAGCCACTTTGAGGGCGTCGTCAGCTCGAGCTCTTGCAGCATCGACATCGGCAAGTAGAGCGTCAGATATCTGCAGTATTTACAAGTACAAACTTCATCAGAGAAAACAAAGTATTTTGGAAAAAATTTCCGAAAGAGCTCATCTCTAAACAATCTAGGTTTCAACGAAGTCACTCGTTTTGCTCCAATAACCCTTTGGGGCACTATTTACCCTACGCCGCCCCATTCCTAAACAAAACTAAGCCGTATTTCGATCAAAATTTGCCCACGACTGAGCATTTGGCTGGAAAGCTGTCTCCGGGTGTATTTAAATCCGCAGAACACGAAGATCTTATCAATTTAGCGCGGAATTCTGGCGCTCGCGCTCGGTGTTGTCGCAGTAGGTTTGCGCCTGTGACGCAGGCTAAAACCTCACTCGCAACGAACTAATGTGATATTCATGTTCTATGGGTCAAAATACCTCTGACAGACAAGTTTCCAGCGAATTTGGTGATCCGAGATGTTCTGGCGCCTTTTGGCGCCGGCGCTTGTGCGCGCGCCAGGCGTTTTAGCGGTAAACGAATGTGATATTCGTGTTCTACGGGTCAAATTACCCCAGAAGACAACTTTCTGCCAAATGCTCAGTCATGGACAAATTTCGATAAAAATCCGGCTTAGTTTTTGACGTGTGGGACAGTGATAAATAGCCCGACCCCTCCCATAACTCCCCCTTCCCTTTGGTCCCGTTCTCCTCTGTTTCAGTCCACAGTATTCTAAAGGAAGATTCTACGATGTCGAGGAAGTGGAACTATACCTACAAAAAATGAAGGCTCCCCAAGAAAGGAGCAAATCGCTGCAAAGGGTGGACCCCTAGCAGTCCAATAAGGCCTAACCCGCGACTATCGCAGCTCTCCATGCCCACCAAGCGGAGTAGTATCAGAAGGGTTTGAATGTTCGCACTGATATCGTCATATCTAGGTCTTCATTTTGAACGAGCCTTTTATTTTAAGTGGCTGTAACTTTTAGTTTTTCTACATGATGCGTTATCAATCAAAGAATGATGTTGGCATGATGCCGGCTACCGGGATTAACACGTGCAAACGAGCTCAACTCGGTTCCTGGTCAGAGCCAACCGTCCGTTCGTGTTTTGGGAACGAGGGTCTCATTTAGAAGGTGAGCGAGCAAGGTTAATACTACCTCTGGGAAGTGCGAGGAGGTCGTAAAAAGGGGTTCTGTTTATGGGATTTGACGAGTTTTTTGATAAGTTTGTCGAAACTTTACGAAGGTAAAAACTAGGCAAAGTTTAAAATTGGTGGAGCCGCCGCTCCACGACGCCACTTCGCCCCCGCTCCTCCCCCCCCCCCCATAACGCCGTTCTGGAAGAAAAAGGGGCGGAGTCAGGTGTGTCGAGTGGTCTCGGAATCAGATACTATATACTATAGAATCAGCCACATAAGGTGAGGGTGGTGATTGGGCTAGAGAAGTGGGATGTCGTAATGGGGGAGCTTCTTTGGAATGACGATGGTGATGGGGGACGCAAAATTTTGAAAAATGCGAACACGACACTTGACCGTCTCTGGCTTGTCCAGAGCGGAAACCAACCGGCAAAAAGCAATTCCCACTTTTCGGCGGTTCCCAGGCCGCTTTTGACATTCTCTTCACTACTGCACCTTAGACCACTTCCGCTTTCATTTAAGGTAGAGGTCATTTTATCCTAGAATCCGCCTATGATGGACGAGACAATTATCAAGTGAAAACAAGTACACGCTAGAACCCTTCCTCCACTGCTCTATGTGAGGCTTTCACGTCTCATCTACAGGTTTTTATTTTGTAGGAAATGACCATGCATGCCTTGGCTATCGAGACTGACTTGTTATGAAAAAACAGTGCGGCTCACCTGCTGCTGGTCCTCAGCGCTTTGCAAATCATTTCTGGCCTCAGCAGCTGCTCGAGCAGCCTGTTCCAGGATTTCCTTGTTATTCTCCGCTTCCTTCTTGGTATTCTCGATGGCTACTTTAGCATCATCACTGATTGCCTTCGCGTCTGCTTTCAGCTAAAAATCGTCGACTACATAAAACAGGCCTTTTGGCTTGTTAGCAACAGCAGACAAACCTGTTGTGGGTCAAAATTAGGGAGACGAAGGCTTTCCACTGTTGTTAGAGCTTCGGCAGCGGCCTGATTGGCAGCAGCGGCAGCCTTTTTTTGTTCCTGGGCCAATTCTAACGTCCTGAATTGTGAGAACTACGAAGCTGTTTTCAAACTGACTCACACAACTCAAAAATATTAAATTGATTAAAAAAATCCCCATCCAGACTCTTTTGCAAATGTTTTAAGAACGAAGCAGCCCTCCTGTCTGAAGAAACGCTGAAAGCGCTCCGCCCAAAAGCGATCCGCCCACTAGTTTAGTTGGTGATTTGGACGAGCTGTGTTGCCAGCAGCGGCACAACTGGAGCAACTCGACTGGAGCATGGTTTGGCATGGTGCCACCAAACGCGTTGCGGTAAACTCGTCCATACGTCCGCCGTCTGAGCCGCTGCCGTCCATGAGCGAAAATCAGGGGCCACACAAGGGGGTCCCGTTCGCGTTTTCTTGAACTTCTGCTCTTTGGCCATGAACGTATCATTGGCACCCCCACGTCCCATCCAAACCCCTTCAGAATCTATCGCAATAGCTGCTTATGAGGGGATTGGCTAAATTTGTGTTGTGATGGGTTGTACTGCGGTAACCAAATCAGACACTTCACAGTAATCTGGAAGTCGTTTAGCTGAACTCTTCCCTGATCAAAAATATCACAAATCGCGTAAAGTTCACCTTCCGAGCGTCTCGTTCAGTTGCGTTTGCCGCTCTTCCATTTCTGCGATTTGCTGTGAAACTTGTTCGCCTGGAAAAAATCAGTAGCGAACTAGATCCCTTCCACCCAAAAATCAGCAAGTTGAATGTGTCGAGCACAAACCTCCATAGATAGCATCTCTAGCCTCTTTATGCGCCTTCTTCGCATTCATGTTCGCTTCTTCAGCAAGTTTTTCAATCTCCTTCGACTGCTGTTCATGCTTGTCAGCTTCTTCCCGAGTTTTTTGAGCAAGATTGGACATCTGAAAGATATACATGTGACCCTGAACAAATATCGCAAGATTTAATGTGTTGAGCCCCCAGTTACATAACCGGCAGTCTTGGGAAGCAAGACGTGGAGTGAGCGCTAGCTAGCAAAATGGGTTACACGCTACACTGATCTTCCCTTATTGTCCTAGTGGACCATGACTGCTATCGTGCAAGGAAGGAATTTTTATAAAAGATTTATATTACCTGTTGACTCTGCTCTCCGTACTTCTTGCTAGCCTCTTTGGCCAACTCCCATTGCGTTTTACCCTCAGTTTCCAAGTAGTGTTGCGCATTCTCCAGTTCACGTCTCGCTTGTTCTGAAGAATAACTATGTCGATAATCTATTGGCAATGTATGTCACGGCAATTTACAAGACTCGATTCGATCATGAAGCCACAGAAAAAAAGTAATGAACTGGGCAACTCTAAAATGCACTTCCGATGGTAGTGCTGGGGTAAATTCCTGGAAGAGGGCTCATTCTGGTGCACAGTGGCTTAAAGGCAAAGGTCGGGCTCAGCCGCGCTAGAGGAGTAATTCCCGTGCCCGGAGGTTGTACGTGAGTAGCTGCACACATTGCAGCAACTTCCCACCTTGAAAAACGTCGTTAAGGCCCCCGGGGCCGTCGGTTTCAATCCGGGACCGCCTCGTCAATCCGGGACCGCCCACCTCCGGAAGTGGTGCGTGGCTGGCATAACGTGTGAAATCAGCTAGGTTGATTGCCGTATCAACCGATAGAACGACTGACATCTCCAGAAAACTTGTTTGTACGTGCCTCTTTCCCAAGCCAGCCTCCTTCACTGCTAGTGGGAAAGAGGGTTTTGTTAACGGCCTTGTCGACGGTTTTTCTCAGTTTTTTCTCCACTGTCGTTCCACTTCGCATCTCTATACTCAGTTTCAATCGCCATAATACCCCCTTATTGAGCCCGACTTTTGCCTTTAAGGAGTCTTTCAACGTTACGAGCTGCTATCAGTTTAATTCGTACGCTATTTCTACTGATTTTTCTATATTGTGTGTGTTCTTGTGTTTTATGACATAAACGTCTATGAAAAGTGATATCTACCTAGTGAGCAGTTAGAACGCAGTTAGAACTAACAAGGGAGGTCGTTCAGGGTGTGCCAAGCTTTTTCAAAATGGTTTCTTGCATGACATTGGGGCACATATGGGGACCACAGAAGCATGGTTCATTTTTCCTGAACGGCCCTCTGAATACCAGAAAAGGGGTCCCTAGTTCGATTCCTCGTGGTGACAAATTTTTGCATTTCGAGTTGACGTTTCCAAATTCGCGCAAAATGGAGTTAGCATGAATAATTAGTACCAAATTCATGATTAGGAACCGTCAGTAACCCTTACAAATAGACTTTGATTGAAAAACTGGTGAAAAAGGTGTGACTAGGGACCCCCTTTTCTGGTATTCAGAGGGCCGTTCAGGAAAAATTAACCATGGTTCTGTGGTTCCCGCATGTGCCTCTATATCATGCAAAAGACCGTTTTGAAAAAGCTTGGCACACCCTGAAAGACCTTCCTTGTAAGCCTAGGAAGGGGGAGGAGGTGCCCCAGAAAAAATGAAGATTGTCTACGAACCCGGGTGTTTTCCTCCCCTTTTAAAGCTAAACCGTGGCATTGGGGAATATGCTATCCGTGTTTCAAACATGTTGAACGTTCTGAGCCGTATCACCCCCCCCCCTGTTGCTGGAATAAACCCAAATGCTGCATTAATCTCACGAAGATGGAACTAACAACTGCGGAATGAGCAGCCACTGAAGACCGAAGGTAACGAAATGCCGAAAGAAAAAAATAAAAAAAAAAATAAAAAAAATAAATAAAATGAAAGCCTTGTTTTTGGATGTTGAAGGTGTCTGCGACACACAGAAGTAAGCAGTCTAACCGACACTGTGCACCGCGGCGAGGAGACAGACTCGTAGACTATGTATAGAGCATACCGGCAGAGCGAAACGCAGACAATCTGCTGTGTAGACTACGGTGCGGTGTCGCAGTACCAGGAGCGGCGGTTACTGGCACCAGTTACAGTTAGGGTATAACAACGAGAGAGCAGGATGAAAGAGAGAGCCGCCCTAGAGGAATTGGATAAAGGGTGGAGAAAAGTGTGCACGTTCAATGAAGGATACCACCACCGGCGAGCAAATCTGGATGTATGACCAAAACCGACTAGTTGGAACGGGTCATGGAATA